CAATTATTTGGGTCTGCAGGCCACATGGGGAGTTTTGGTGAGCTGTCTTGAGCCAGGTTAACCCCCACCCCTACTTCCTGCCCACCTGCAGCCTCATCCCATCCATCCAGCCACGTGCCACTACACATGTGGGTCCCACCCCTCACAGTGGGTGCAGGGTGGACCTGCTGGGGTGTCTGGGTCTAATGGTGGAAGCAGCTGGAAGGAATTGCTGCTGCCGGAGCTGCCAGGAAGCGAATTCAGCTGCTGTGCTGCTCCAGCCACATGTGCTCAATCTGCCCCTTACACTTGGGCTGGGTGGGACCGAAGGACCCGCTGCAGGCTGGACAAAATCTCTTGGTGGGCCAGATCTGATCCACAGGCTGTATTTTGGCCACCCCTGCTTTATATGCATATTGTGTATAACTATGAAGTATAACAATTAATAGCCCCTTAAATAACACTAGTACCTCTGTTACAAAAGTTTTTTTCCATTAGGGATGTGCACCTGTTGGCAGTTTTTAGACAGGAAGCCAATAATTCTGAGAACTGCAGTCTTTGGGGAGAGATTAAGGACTGCAATTACAGCAAGAGCATAAGCACCTGCTCTCACTTACTGCCAAAAATAATTGATTTCTCCCCAATTTGTTTTCTCGTAATATTTGTTTTTTATTTTTGACAATAACTGAATGCTATTAAGTAAGAACAGCTGAAAAAAAAGCAACAACAAAATGACACTTCCTCCCTCTGTTCTCGGTATCATTCAGGGACAAAGAGATTCATTCTTGTAAACTGTAACTACTGTTACCACCAAAAGATAAACTAAAGTTGCATCAGGGACTATTCTTTAAAAGCTGAGGCTCCCCTTTTGCAGGTGCAAATCAGGTAATTAGCTGAATATAGTCTTATATTCATTTCAAAGGAATTCTACAATGAGAAGACTACAGAGACCTTAGGTTTGGATCCTCAGAGTTATTTATGTGCTACATTGTAATCAGGGGATTTTCTGATTACAATGAGAATATTTTACCGAACAAATTCCCTTTCATTGTAATGGCCAAGGCATTGGTGGCACCCTTGTTTCTTCTGCTCTACTCCCATTGCATGCTGTAAATTTTTTTCTAAATCAAGTGCTTTGTGGGTGTGGGTCAAGAGAGACCCCAGAGTGTATGCCCTTGTGAAGTGTCCTAGACAAATGCTTATTGCACAAATTGCAGGTAAATGCAGGGGACTGGATTCAATGGCATGGAAGGTCTCTTGTAGTGTTATGTTTCTAAGTCTAAGTATCTTTGAAGATTTGGGTATTATCTCTCACTGGGTACATACGAACGTGTGCCCAGGAGCAATAAACTGTGGGGTAATAAATTCCAGAGTGCACCTAAGACTGCAGCACATTGAGCTGGGTTGGAACAGCCTTGGCTGGCATGGGGTCCTGGGGGTGAGCCACCCAGCTTGGGGCTGCTTCCCCCTGGCTCAACATGCTGTGGAGGGGCTGGCTGGGGCACGAGGATGCTTTAATGTGTGGCTATCCAGCAGGCAGCCCCTAAACTGAAGCACCCTTGTGTGCCAGCCAGCTAGGGCAGCATCTACACGTGCACTGCTGCAGAGTGCTACTTTATAGTAGGATAGTACTTGTAACCTGATGGGTGTGTCTACACAAGACACTAAATACACATTAAACTAATTCTACTGTGCAATAGCATGTGACACAAAAAGCATGCTTATGTGCTAACACACAGCAGACTTAGTCTAATGGGCATTAAGTGTCACAAAAAAGCATTGATCTGTGCTAATGCACAGTAGTGCCGATTATGGCATATTAAGTTAGTAGCTTTTATTACAGGTACTAAACCTAAAGCACTGTAATTATGGCACATTCATGAACATGTAGACATGCCCACTGCAGGGCAAATTAGTTTATTCCAGCCTAACAGGGGTGCACTTGTAGATGCCAAGATGTTTACTGCACAGCTACTCAGTCGACTACAAAGTAAATATCTCATGTAAATATGCCCATGGAGACCTACTGACTTTGTCAGATTTTATTTGGCTTACAAATAACACAGTCAGGTAAGGCACTTATAAATTAAGAAGAACATGGTTTAAGAACCAAGGGCCTTTGTACATGCCACAAAATCGGCCTTTAAAGCAGCTTAAATGCTACTTTGCACTGCTTTAATGGTGTTGCTGTTTGCATGCTTGGCAGCATATTCCGCCTTAAATGACTTTGGTACGTAGCACGATAAAACACCTCTGAGGTGTTTTAGTTTGCTACCTAACAGAGTGCAACAGTGCATGGGGCACTGGAAGCCAACATGCTCGGGCCTTGAAGGGCCCCGTGCAGCTCAGGGGCTGTGGGACCCAGCGGCAGCCCATGCAAGCAGGCTTCACTGAAGGATAAAAAAGTGGCAAGCTGGAGCCTGCCTGCCTGAGCTGTGTGGAGGCTCAGTGCTTCCTTCTGTGGCTGTGGTGGGAGGCAGTGCTTCCCTCTGTGGCTGCGGTGCCCCCCAAGACTGCCTGGGCCGAGTGCCAGTGGGTGGGTGCCACCTCGGGGGGCCCCCATGCAGCTCAGGGACTGCTCAGCTTACTAGCAGTTTGCCTCCACCTCCCTGCTGCCGAAGAGGCAGGTAAGGATTGGGCCCCTACCTTTGTGTACACACCATGAGGGTTTAATTTGGCTTAATTCTCCCTAAATTGAAGCAGTGTTTTTAAAAACCCAGTGTTTCAATTTAGGGAGAACTGAACCAAATTAAACCCTGTGGTGTGTGCAAGCAACCCAAGAGACACTCCAAATTTGAATAATCCTGTATTTACATATTTTTGCTTTGTAATTGTATTAATACATCCTATATTTTCAAGGTTAATTTACATGTGAGCATGAAGTAAACTTATCTGCTTGTGAACTTTTAGAAAATCCACCCTTTTAAGATGTTGATGTTGTATTGTATTTCTTTGGATGCTAATACAGTTACTAAGATTCTGACTTTTCATTGACTTTCATCAGCCAGATAATTGCAGGACTGAGGTCTAAAAGACTAAGAACCAGTGTCTTATACCATGAATATAGCATAATTATGATCATTTTGCACCATAAATCTATCTCGGATTCATCTATTAATTTATCCCTGTTACAAAGCATCTCTAAAATTCATTCATCATCCTGAAGTTGATGTAAATTGGAAACAAAGGCAATAGAGGAAATTTATAGTCTGCAAGTGAACTGTATTTTAGTAGATAGTATACTGTAGAAAATATAATTAATTCTAATTGAATTCAATATTCTTATTAAATTTCTGACATTTTAATGAGATGTGTCTAGGAAAACCCTAATTTTATGTCCATATTACATTCAATTTAAATCCCTGCCCAAAATAAAATTTAATTTTACATGTTAAGATTGCTAAAATGCTATCAAGGGGATAAGAATGTTGATGCAAGACCCTGTGTTGTTATTTCTGTGAGTGAGGCAGAAACCATAGAAACCTCTTAAAATAAAAATGGTATCTCTTTCTAACAAGTAAGAGAGGAGGTACAATGACTGAAGAAGGATATGTGTGCAGCTTCTGCATACTTTTGAGATTTTTCCCAAATAGCTGCTTTTTTTCATTTGAAGTTTATGAGCAATGTAGCTTAAAATGAGGGTCATTAAAAGCATGGTATATGTAAGGGTGGCCAGAGCCTGGACTAGGCTTCCCAGAGAGGTGGTGCTCTCACCTTCCCTAGAAATCTTCAAGAGGAGACTGGATAGGCACCTGGCTGGGGTCTTATGACCCCTCCCACTCCCAGTGCTCGTTGGTGCCCCTGGCAGGGGGTCAGACTTGATGATCTGTCTAGGTCCCTTCCCACTCATTGATTTTGTGGTTCTATGATTCTAAATACTGCAGTTTTATACAAGCAGAACTCCAATTGGAGATAGTACATATTTGCTTTCATGGCAATAAAAACCTTAGGTAAATGTATAACCCTGAATAATTTTATACATATAAACAGTAGTCATACAGAACACCATGGAATTAGTAAGTGCAGAAGTAACTTAAAAAGTAACTCATATGCATAAGGGTTTGCAGTACTAGGAGACAGGTTCTCTGTACAGCTACTGAGCCACAGTGCATTTCACACACAGCACACAAAGCCTAGGGATCTGACTGCATGGTCAGTAAATAACAATATTGTCAGAGTGTAAAGAAAGTGTGTCCCCATCATGTATTGTGTATGGGCCTCAGTCCTTCAACAGAACTCATATGAAAGTGTATTGACTTCATTGGGGTTTTATACAGGGCTCTGGCTGAATAGGTCAATTTGTAAGATTGGGCTTACATTTTATGAAAAAATGTTTTAATCTTTCTTTAATGGAAACAGTAAGAAATGTTTCTACTACAGAGCAAAGACTTTAATAATAAAGTAAACAGTTGTTATTAGAAATAGCATTTCCACCAAAACTTTATTTTCTGATGTTTTCTATTGGAGATAAATATAGTTATCCTTATATAATATTTAAAAATTACCTTGCAATTTGTTTTAATACATCTCATTGTCAATTATATAGAATCAGTCTTGTAGGACCCAAGCCTAAAATGAGCTTCATGAGGCAGATCCTTATACAGAGCCTTGATGGAAATCTGTTAGAACTGCACATGAAAATAAGTTTGCCTAAGCACAGCACACAGAGCATTAAAGTCTTAATTATACCATCTGACAAGCATGCACATGCTTAAACTTGAAGAGTGACTGTGAAATATATGGAGCCACTCATGGTAAGCAAGGTTGAGTGTGTGCGTGTCCCTACAGGATTGGGCCTTAGTGATGTCACAGCCTGCCAAAATTCTTGTTGCTTATTTGCCTAGGAGGAAGAAAGGGCCATTGTGGGTGAGTAAAATACCATTAATTGGTCATTATTCTCACTTGTCAGGGTAAGAGGCAGTGGAAAAGATTTTATTTTTGGTGCAGTAAATTTTCCTGACAGTTTCTTAATACAGGTGGTTCAAAAAGTGAATAGAACTTAGTGTTGCCATTCCTCCTCTTCCTTTTTAGCCATGCAATTTTCTTCCCTTAACAAGCACTTCCCTGGGGGCTTGCTCACTTCTGATTAAAATACTGGTTGGCTCCACCCCTCTGCTGTAATGTGATACAACTTTGCAGAAAGCAGGAAGTCTGGGGAGAGTACCCTACATCATTTCATAAGGTAAGAGTGGTTTTTAAGGCTCTCTTGGAAGGAGAAATGCTTTGGGAACTGTGAATTAAAAACTAGTCTTGTGAGAATTAGGGGTGTTGAGAAATGGGACTGTTATTGAGTGAGGTGTAAATAGTAAGGAAGGAACAGGTGCCCTAAAGTGGGGGTTAGGAGTTCTTGTCTGTCTGCAAGACATGAGGCTAATGTAAGGCTTGGACGCTTGTTTTAAGGCTTTTATCAGTGTTGATAACTTGGATAGTATAGATCCAGAGCCAACTGAATAAACATGAATTAATTTTGTTAATATTCTAGCACCCTAGCATTATTTGTATATTACACTAAAATCTGACCTCTTTGAAAGGCGAAATATGTGCCAAGAAAAAGCTATTTCTAGTCTTTTTATAAAGTAAATGGAAGTGTCATGCATTTAGTGTTATACAGTAAGTAAAAGAGGTACTTTATAATTACTTAGTAAGAAGGTTGATCTCTCTCAATGTGGGATGTTGAAAAAGAGATTGTTTGATTTAAATACTGATGTTGTTAAATTTTAAAAAGAACAAACTAATGAACAATCCTAAATCTTACACGAGTTTAAAGCGTGGTTTGCCTCAGTGTTATACAATAATGTTCTCTCTTAAATTCTCTTATCTTTATTATTGAATGAAAAGGTCATGCAAAAGTTCTGATCCTGTAAATTGGTTTGCCTGATTGAAATAACTCGGGGCAGGAGTGAAGGCACAGGTGAGACTGTAGGATGATTGTAAGAGGACTGTGTCATTATGCAAGGAAGCCTGCTCTGTCAAACCACTTACAACAATTCTATATGTGATTAGGGCTTTAGGACTGTGAATATGGTATGACAGATATTATTTTGACACCTGTAGTATTTGAAATAATTGGAGTTTTTTAAAATTATTATATGATTTCTTAACGTGTCATTTTTCAGACCAGTATGTTCTGAAATTGGTAGGATACCAATTTAATTTACATGAGTAGTGGAGGAAAACAATGTGTCACAGAAATTAGTTGCAAAAATAAGTGCAATGTACAGTGACACTAACTGATAGGTTCTGAAGCACTTCTGATGTCCACTTTGTAAATCTATGAATCCTTCAGTACAATGTATTTAACTGTAGGCTACAGCAGCTTGCTGTGTTATATTTATGTAATCTAGCTGTTGACGGTAAGGATAGTTAATATCCATGGTTGTCCTATTGTAATGTAAGGTCACAAAGAAATGTCTAACTTGCAAAAAGATACCTTAAAAACATCTATTTTGACTTCCTGCAGTTTTCTGGATTTTACTATTTAGATAATTTGTGCAGCAAATAACTTCAAAGTTTAGAAATCCTTTATCTCCAGGGAGTTCTTATGCTTCACCTTGCATACATTTAGTCATGAAATTAATAAGGCCAGAGAATTGCTAGTTCTTCAGTGCTGGAAGAACAATAATATTTATTTGCTGCCTTTCTATTGTAGGGTCAGTGTATTTTCCAAACTCTTGGCACTGATGTAGCTAACCATATTATCTGTAGATATTTTTAGGTTTTTGTATACATACTTGCAAAGTACCTCTTGAAGGCTGAATCTAGATAAACAGTGGTGAAGGACTAGTTCCAGTTAATCTGGCTCTAGTTTCTATCGTATCTTATCTACAGGGAAGGATTTAAACAGACCATCTAATTTGGCTTTATTCAGCAGACTGATCAAGCTCTGCCAAATTGCTTTTGAGTTGGAAACAAAAAACCATGTTGCTTTACAGCAAAAAACTAATGAAATTGCATTTTTCCATATACAATAAGATATTGGTTGCTTGATTACTGTTCTTCCATAACAAAGTACTTAAACTGTTTGTGGATATCTATTCAAGAGGCTTCTTCTCTGTCCTGGTGAACTATAAACATTGCAAAACATGGTGGTCACACAAAATTAACTCCAAGGTGGTCTGTGTGTGTTTTCAGAAGGCTTGACCACGTTTGATAAGTCTAGCTTATTGTTTTAGTATTCCTTTTTATGTGCATTGTGATCACTCAACAACCAGGATCTTTTGGCTTTATTTTCCTTTGTTGACTGTGCAAAAGTCTCATTGCTCTTCTAGGAAAATGTCTGAGATATATTTTGCATATACTTATTGTGATCTTAACTTTTGGTGAGGCAATTGGAGTTTTAAAATTTATTGTTAATCTAGTTCATTAGTTCAAGTGATAAGTAGATGTGGATTTTCAAATTTTTTTTATGACCATAGCATATTTTTAGCAAATAATAAGGATGACCTTGTTTTGGAAATTACACATGATGATAACATGTCAAGCAAATCAGTGTTGCTGACTGCAGATCTACAATAATTGAAAAAGTAACTGTATAATTTTCTGAAGAAACAACAACCATTCTATATACCATTAAATTGTTATGTAGGCAAAGACTGGGAGAATTTTGACTAGCACTTAACTGATCTCCTTTTTTTTAAATTTTATTATGCCTTAAACAAAACGATGTACTGAAGATGTTTTACCTGGGTTTATATTACATAATTTTACTAATGTTTGATATATAGTGAGGATTTGCTCCCTGCTACTCTTACATTTGATAGTATTTGAATTACTTACCTCCTCTGATAGCTTCATCTTTTGTCCACAGTGGGTGTGTCTACATGAGATGTGTATTGCGCAGTAGAGTAATTCTACTGCATATTACTATAGTTTTTGTAGAATTGGTCTACTACATATTAAGCATCGCAGAAAGACCGTGTGCTTTTACTACTGTTCATTTATGTGGTACCTCATGTTATAGGTACTAAACATGCAGTAGAAAAGGCACATTCATACATGTGTAGACATGCCCAGTGAGTATTTGGAAGCAGTTGTTACTGACTCAGTACTTTTAATTATATAATTCCCTGAACCCTAAATTCCATGCCATTCTAAACTGCTCGTGGCAAATGTTCAATTTTCCAAGCAATTCAATTTTTCCTTTGTGGCCTCTCAAGTTTTAATGTAGATCATAATGGTATAACATTCACGAGGCTGTGAAGTGTTCTGTCTCATACAGTTATCACTGCTGTGGTCTCATGGGTGAATAAGTCACAAATCTTGTATTGGTTGTCTACATCAACATTTTATTGCAAAGTGAACTCATTATTATCTTTGTATCTAGGGTTCCCCCCATTTCCTGCCCTCCCCAGCTCAAAGAAGGATAAAGTGTGTGAGTAACTAGATGCAAGAGTGATCTTTGGACTTGTATTTTGAATACCCCAAACTTACAGGCGCATTACTGTTATATGGAAAGTGGCTTTGTTAGGTGTTTGGGCCTGAGTAGAAAGAAAAGGCTGATTTCTTGTAGAGTTTGAAGATTTCTGAATCCTAGTATTGGCTAGGGCTCATCACTTTAAAAACTGTTGCGTTTGTCAAATACCTTTCTGTATCTTTTCTATAATATGTTGAACCCCCAAAAGCTCCAAATTGCTGTTGTATATACAGTATGAAATAATAATGCATGGATAGCAGACAATGGAAGGAATTGAAATTTTGAGAATAACTTCCTAACTTCCTTCATATTGGGAGAGCCCAGAGAGTGTTTTGATGTAAAAGCCTCCTTAAGAGAATTAAAGGAAACGGATCTACTTTTCTATTTGGGAAGGGCTATATTGTAGTACAAAGGCTGGCAGAAACACTTTCCTAGCTTTTCACTGTATATGGAGCAGCCTTCGCTCCGTTTTCTCTCTTTACTTTTTTAAATTACTCTTTAGTGCCGTTATTTCACATTACCCCTTTCTGCCTCCACATCTCTTTAAGCCATCTCTGTGTGGAAGGAAGGTGGTGGTCCGTTCAGTTTGTGGAAGAAAGTCCTTGCTTCTCTCATTCTGTACTGCAAGTTGTTCTATACACTAGAATGTTGAATGTTTCACCCCCCCCCCTTATCTCTATCATGGCATCTTATCTATCTTGCTCAGGTTTTATGAAGCTCTCAGAAGAGTGAGTGAAAACTTAAGAAGTGACTCGCGCCATGCAGACTATGGTGTCAGCAGGGCTTATGGAAATTGTCCTTAAATAAAAATGTGGTTTGACACAGTTCTTGCCAACCCTATCAACTCGAGCAGTCATGAGCTTCTGCTGAATGTACCATGGAGAACTGTGGAAGATTTTGAATGTGCTAGAACTGGGCCATAATGAGGTCCCTGAGTTCATTTTCACTAGAAGGAATCAATAATGCAGTGACTCTGCATATTAACCTACTGTGAATATTCTTGAGGAAAACACTGAGGATTTCCCATTTCTTCTTTTCTTTTACCCCATCTAGTTCTGGAGTATAACTGTTCTAAAAACTTTTCCCCCTCCTTTCATATGCTCTTTAGTGAGCTTTTGAAGAAGCACGTGACAGTTGTTCAGTGCTGTATATATGCATGCATTATATTGTAGGCACTCTGAGGGGGAAAAAATAAGCAAATAGTTACTCTGTTTTATAGCTCTCCGATTTTTTTGTTTTTCCCTTTTACCAGAGGTCAATGCCCAGCTTGCTGAAATGGTACTTTGCCTCTTATCTTTATGCCCATGTGTGCTCTCAGGAACCTTCCTAACTATTTCTTATCAGTCTGCTAAATGGACTATGCTTTCCCAGAAGTACATCTTATTAGTATATTTTTGACCTGAGTCTTGCATGCATCTCCTACAGGGTTGAGAGGGTTATTCAGTACTCTCTAATCTGCTTTCACCCTCCTGCTGCCTCAAGGAGTCAACAATATTTTTCTTACCATTTAATTATGACAGCCGGGGGAGGGGGAGTGCACACACTGCCGTTTGACAGAAAGGTTCACTCTGTAAAGATATGCCAGGTACCCTGAATGTACCCTGAATTAATATCGCCAATTGTGGGTGTATAGAGACATGTTATTACTACTGTTAAATGTATAACTACCATAATGAAAAGAAACTGGGAAAAGTTAAAGTGCAGTATCTAATGAGAAATTGTGCACAATTCTACACGCCAAGTAGAACTTAAAACCCTTCTCCTTTTGCTCCCCAACTCTACCTTTCATTTTGCTATGAGTGCCATTGTGGCTGGATAAAATGGACACAGTTACAGAATGATATTAACTTCCATCAGGATTTTCAGTCCTAACAGGTAAAAATGCTAAACATGGTTTTGGCAGAAATAATATGTGATCAGTATTGACATTTGGAAGATTCATACAATCTTCCTCTTGATATGCAAGTCTTTTTTTTTCAAATAGACAACCAGTTTTTGTGTAGATTGGGGGTGTCAGACTTGCTCAGCTCCATGGGTTGGATGAAGCCTACAGGCCATGTACTTGACACTTGTGGTCTATATCATGTCTAGTAGAAGTGTGTGAAATGGGCCGTATTTGATTCTGATTTAGATTCAGCCCAAATCAGGGACAGTGATTCAGTTTGTTGATTCGGATCACTGTCTCCGATTTGAATGGGCTGAATCTGAATCTGAAGATTCAGCGCTGATTCAGAGAATCAGTGATTCAACCATAGACACAGCTTTAAATGTTTTTTCTACATACCTTGACATACAAGGCATGGCTTGTGAAAGCTGCAATGCCTGGGCAGATGGAGCATCCCACAGGAGCATGGTGTGGGGGCCCCCCCACATGCTTGGCTGCAAACCCAGAAGTGGATTGGAAGTACTTCTGGTCCACTTCAGGATCCACTAGGGAATATGCTGGGGCCTCCCCTGCACCCCCCTTGCTTGGTGATTGGCTGCAGGGGGACCCCAGGTGCTCCCCCAGACCCAGGAGGCACAAGTCACCAAGCCAGGGGGAAGGGTGTGGGGAGCGGGGGCCCTGCATGCTCCCCAGCAGACCCGGAAGTGGACCACAAGTGCTTCTGTTCCACTTTCGGGTCTGCTGCCGAGTGTGCTGGCAAGCCTCCTGCACTCCTGTGTGCGATGCTCCATCTGCCCCAGCATTGCAGCACTTACAACCCATGCCAGGTACCTTGAGGTATGTAGAAAAAACATTTAAAGCTGTGTCTATGTCTGAATCACCAAATCGATTCAGAGAGATTGAAGGGTCTACTGATTCAATTTGGATTCAGAGATTTGGCCACCAAATCAGGCCAAACCTCCACCAAATCAAATCAGCGACTGAAGCTTTGCACAACCCTAACGTCTACTTGTAATTGAGCACTTTAAGTCCTACCCAAGCAATAGGTTTTGTTTCTTCTGCCTTAAAGAAATGTTTTCCAATATAATGTCTGCTTAGTGACTGGGAAAGATTTTATTATCAGGGAATCTTTGTTCATGTAACAATGAACAAATACCTACTGTGAGGTTAGGTAGTCATCAGGAATGGTTGACACAGATCTAGAGCTGTGTGATTAATAAACAGCTGCCCTTGTCAGGGGCTCTGTAGTTCCCCCAGTACAATGTTCCTTTGTATCTCCTGTCTTTCTTCCTTTCTCTCTCTTTCTTCCTGTCTTTAATTAAACTGACTTCTTAAGAGTCGCATGTCCCAGCTACTTGGTGCCCTTCCCTTAACTTAGGAGTGAGCAAAATGGCAGATCCAGCTGGTAGCCAGACTCCATTTTCCAGTAGCCTCTGCCACATTGCTGCAGCTGGTTTCTTTCGGAGACCACAGCAGTGGCGGGGCCATGACAGGCCAAGGCCAAGGAGCAGTGGGGTTGTGAGTGTGGGGCCAGGGTTTCCATGGAGACCAGCCCCAGCAGCGCCGGCAGGGCATGGCTGGGTGGGAAGCTGCTGCAGGGCTGGGCCTGGGATCTTGCAGCGGTGATAGTGTGGTCTGGGGCCAGGGCAGAGCCACGATCCGCTGCCCGCACACCCTTGCTTGGAGCATGTGGGCAGCAGATCATGGTTCTGCCCTGGCTCCAGATCATGCCATCACTGCTTCAAGATCCCAGCCCCAGAGCAGCTCCCAGCCCATCCAGGTGTGCTGTCACTGTTGCTGGGACCGGTTTCCATGGAAACCCTGGCCCCAAACCCACAGCCCCGCTGCTGCTGCTGGGATCTCCGTGGGAACCAGCCGCAGTAATGTGGGCAGGGGCTGCTTGGAAAAGGAGTCTACTGTGGGCCCAATCTGGCCCTTGGGCCAGACTTTGCCCACCCCTGCTCTAACTTGTCTGGTTGTTAAGAAGGTTTGATGACATGTAAGATGTTTTTTGAGTCGGATCCTATCTTGTCAGTGATCTTTTGCTAAAACTGCCTGCAACTAGGGCATAGTCTGAGCGTAGGTGTGGGAGACAGATTTTTTTTTGTTATAATCCCAGCCCTAAGGTTCTGTGTGGGGGCTTGAGCTTCTGTAAAATGAGGATAATATTTACTAATAAGAGGAGAGGAGCTAGTTAATATTGTGAAGCATTTTGAGAGCGTAAAGGGGGTTGGTATAGGGGAGCATGCTGGGCCTGTTTTAAGTGCCAGTATTATTCCTTTCCCCAGGCACATGCACCTAAAATAAGAGGTCAGACTAAGTATATTCAGGGATGTTGGGTTTTGTGTGTTCTGTTATAAACACCATTAATTACCAGCATGAGGGGGATGAGTTGTTTGGGGGACATTATGACAATGGTTTTTTAATTCTTTTTTTTTTTTTTCTTTTTAAAGTACTGTTTTTAAAAAGGGGTAGGGGAATTCAAATATGGCCAGAGAGAAAATAGTACTAGAGGGTAGATGTTCAAAAGTTATGAAATGCTTGGTATCTACAAGGTTCTCTGCGTGAATCTGATATCTTTTATTAGACCAACTTAAAAAGTTAGAAAACAATTATTAAGCAAGCTTTCGGGTTCAAAAACCCTCCATCAGGCTGAGGAAGTTTCAGCAGTTGGTGTGCCTCTGCTGAAGTAAAAGAGCCTCTGGCTTCTTTACTTTTCTTTCCATCCAGGAAGAGCACACACCAACTGCTGAAACTTCCTCAGCCTGACGGAGGGTTTTTGAACCCGAAAGCTTGCTTAATAATTGTTTTCTAACTTTTTAAGTTGGTCTAATAAAAGATATCAGATTCACGCAGAGAACCTTGTCTGCCTATGTTCTTAGACCAACACGGCTACAACCTACAACCCTGGTATCTACAAGGACTTTCATGAACATGTGGGAGTTAACCTCAAGAATCTTTAGAAACAGAACCTGGTGCCTCTTACTTGTGAAAACATTTTTCAAATTGGTTGTGTGGTGCTTAATATTCAGTCACATCTTCTAAAGAGATGTGGCAACCTGATATTTAGAACTGAAGTATCTTGTGTTTGCAGGAAGCTGGATTAGATGACTCTTGTGGGCTCCTTTTAACACTGCTGCTAGCCTGCTATAGTATGTGTACAGGAGAAACCTGCATCGTTGGTTAATACTGTGTGATCTCTAACTTGTTCAGATGGAGTCTTCTGAATTGGCTTTCACGATTTGGCTATTGGCCTGTGTTTCTGGACCTGTAGATGGATATCCAAATGGAAAAGTGACAGAGGCCTGCAGTAGTATGATGCCTCTCCATGGGCATCATCCTCAGCTGACACCTAAGCACATCATAACAGCAAGTGAGACTGAATTTAGACCAGGGGACCATATAAAAGGTATTGTGACCTTTTTTATGTTGAAACAATTGTGGTCAAAGATGGATAGTATTTGGACTCAGCCACTCTAGATTGGTTATGAATGCTTGGTTAAAGGAACCTTATGGTTCCTCCAAGCAGGCCTTTTCAGATTATACCAACGAGTTTGTTCAAGTCTGTATAGTCAGCTACCATCTTAACTTCGGAAATTATTGCTCTGAACACTGTGACTTGGCATGCTTGTTTCTTTACTTCCATCTATACCAGTTATATAAAAGTGGTTAGCTGTGTTGGTCTGAAGTCACGCAGAAGGCAATACAGGGTGGCATCTTAGGTTAAATACAGACATTCAAAAAGTCCTTGGTGGAAGCATTTTAACTGGGTGCAGTCAGAAAGAAGAATTTTCACCTGATCTGGCCCCAGAAAACAGTCTATAGGTGGGACCAAATACAAGTGCATAGCTGTAGACTGCTTTAAAAGGGTCTGATTTCCCCCCTTCCCCCAATCTACCCACCCCACCCTCCAGTGCCACCTGAGGAACCCCAAGAATGAGTTCCCTCTGCTTGCTTTCTCCCTGCCCACTCTGAAAACAGTGTCTGGTTGGGAGTGGGCTGCAGGCTGGCAGCAAGCTGCTGGAATTCCCAACTTTTGGGGGATCATTGCAACTCCTAACACTTCCTGCAAAGCGCTATGAGTTAAAATGGGGAGCTGCTCTTCTGTTTGTGCCCTTTACTAAAAGTGCTCTAAATTTAGAGCACCAGCTAACTGAGCAGCCCTGCACTGTTCAGTGTGTGGGGGAGAAGGGACTTAGACCCTGCCTGCACTAGCTGCTGGGGGTGCTCCTGCATACGTCCCAGGAAGCAGTCAGAGGGGCTCCTCTCCCCAGCCCTGCTCTCCCACCAGCTGGTAACTGTCAGCAGGTCCTCTCCCCAGCCCCGTGGCATGCTTCTGCTTGGTTGGGATGGGATGGGAGGGGGGGGCTATGGGGACACAGAGCCCAGACCCCTTGGCCAGGCAGCAGCATACTGCAGGGCCAGGGCTGAGAGAGATTTCTCCCCCCACGCCTACCCCCCTGGCCAGATTGTGGCTTACAGTTGGTCAGAGGGAGGAAGTGAGGTTGGGATCAGAGGTTGCCACTGACTTTGGTCAGTAACATCTGGGTGGCTGGGGCTGGCACAGAACTTGAGCAGAGGAAACCAGCTCTAAGGCTACAGTGTAGCCATGTGCTATGCTGCCTGTGATGGCAGGAGAATAAGACCTGTGGATGGATGTGGTGCATACATTTAAAAAAGGGCTAACAGAAACTGCTTAATCTAACCCTTGATAGATGTGGTACTGATTAAAAGCATGATCTGCCGCTTTTAAAGTGGTCTGAGCCATGAACACCTGTTCAGTTACTGCTTTAGAGTATTTTCAGTGCTCTTAAAGCATGATGGGTGTAACACCCATACATAGCCTTAGAGCTTAACTTATTTATAAATTTCATAGACATTAGGGTTGGAAGGGGCCTTGCAAGAGCATTGGGTCCAGCCCTCTGCCCAGGGGGCAGGAGTTGGCAGGGGTCAAATGATCCCAGTAAGATGGGCATCCAAGTGTGTGGTTTTTTTTTGAAAGTACCCAGGGTAGGTGCTTGACTTCTTTCCCCACCCCCCCAGGGTGGTGCTCTTGCACACCTTGGGGACTCAGACAGTAAAGAAGCTTTTTCTTTAATATCCAGCCTAAAACGGTCTTCCAGGAGTTTGTGACTATTGGACCATGTCTTCCCAAGGGATGCCCTAGTTAACTGATGTTCTCCCAGTTCCTGATGCAAAAAGGCATGAGCTCTCATAGGAGACGACTTAATTCATTAGATGCTGTGAATGGACTTGCAGAAAGCAGGGATTCTAAAAGAAATCCCATCCCTTCTAAGGTCCCTTTAGAACCCCTTCTTTCTGCAAGTCCACTCATCTGACTAAGTCACGGGTAGGCAATGTTTTTTGGCCAGAGTTCCGAAAAACACCACAATGCCTACCTCGGAAGGTGCTGGAGTGCCGGCATGGCAGAAAAACAAAATGAGGACAAGGGGTTCATGGCAGGATGTCCTGCTTGTGCCC